GCCCTCCCGGTAGGGCCCGGCTCGTTCCGGCCGCCCCGGGCCGGGTAGGGGAGGGGACGTTCCCGCCGCCTCCCGTGAGCGATAACGGGAAGCACTCCCTTGAAGTTTGGGGCCGGGCCCCGGAGCAGCTCAGCTCATTACAAAATGAGTTACGTTTCTCGGGCATCCGGCACGTGCAGGAGCCTTTGGGTGTTCCGTGGCTGGAGGCGCCGATGACGGCTCCCCCCGTTGAACTCCCGGTGCCCAGCCCAGCTTCCTCCGGCTTTTCCGCCTCTGAAATAGGGGTGGTGATACTTAACTGCCCTTGGAAATACTTTAAAACGTTTGGTTAGGAAAAGTGCTGCCCCATTTGCAAATAATGTTTCAGAGTACCATATAACGAACAACAAGTGTTGCAGGCTGCCAGGTCACAGCCAGCAAGAGGCTGTGGGAGGCCGCGGTGGCCGGCCCTGCTCTTGGTGGATGTTCGGCCAAGGGAAGGTGGCGTAGGGTTGTGCTGACTCACTCTTCCCCGAAAAGGCTTTACGTTATGGCCATCGTAATGAAACGCTTGCGAAGTGACATAGTAAACCCAGACTGCGTTGCAGTATGTGCACCCAAATTGTTGCTGAATTATCATTCCAGAATTAGAAATGCCGAGCACGGCCCATAGTATTTCTGCAATCTGCGAGAGTCTCAGAGAATTGGCAGCGCGGTAGTTAGGAAAGAGCTGGTTGATTAAAATGTGTCTGGAGTTGGGAAAAAGGCTTGTATAATGTCTTGGGGGAGACTATGCATGAAGCTAAGTAATCACAACGTGGAAGGCATACAGCTGCCATTGGTTAGGAAACAGGCCGCAAGAGAGAAAAAAAACAGAAAATATGATAAAAACAATAGTAGGTGTGCTGCCAGGTTCCAGAGTATGAAACGGAGTTGCTAGCATGTTTGTTGAAGAGACAGAAAAAGAAGTTGACCATATGGCTGCAGTGTTTCTATGCAATGCAAAATCATGCGCCTCTCGTTGTAAGATTAGGCTGAGGAATTTCGGTTAGCCACGGTGAACCGGGTGAATGAGCAATACAGAATGATGTATCGAGAAGAATATTACATATCCCATGGCAGTAAATTATCTTTGCCTACTCAAGAAAAAGACTCGTATATCATTGTGAATGGCTCAGTGAAACCATCTGCGCAATGTATAGTTATTATAGAAGAGAAATAAGCAAGATGTGATGCCATCGAAAGACTGGAATATAATAATTTAAGAAAAGATTCTGCATAATGGGGAATTATGTATTATACATTAAAAAGGCAGAGATATAGTGAATGGTACTGAAAACTAGATTTGATATTCCTACATACTGTATTCCATGAAACAAGAGGAAAGGGACCAAAACCAACATGACATAGACAGTAAAACCACTTTATTTTACCTGTAATTAATTACGCAAGTCATCGCTGAGGCCAACATTTTAACAGAATATTTAAAGGATTTGACTTTAGTATGAAAACATGCATCGTTATTCAAAACAGATTTTAAAAGTATAAGGAACAAAGTTACCACCACTTGAAGACATACCCCATGCTTTACTGGCAAAAGTTAAAAGAAACGAAGGCAATTTAATTCATTTGATGCCTTTTCGCACTTATTTGGAAATACCTGACCGTGACCTCTCTCAGGTACAAAGGATCATGCATCTACTGTGTTGTGTGTTTCCAGGGACACACGGCTGTACCGTAAGACATCGGCAGCTGGGAACTGTATGCATAAGGGTGAAATAGTTTTTGCATTGTACTTGGGGGCTATACAAAGCTTTCTCCTATAAACCATTTTAAAATGCTGCATGTGATACGGGGCTTATTAACAACAACACATACCAGGGAAACATGGTAAACAGTAGAGAAGACTTTTTAACGTAGTAATTAATTATTTGAAATAATAATTATGATAAAAAATTATGTATATGGAGTGGTGGCAGTTTGCCAGAGATGTGGGAATAAAAAGATGATGTGTTACAAAGACCTCAAATTACATCACACAATTTCTGGTCGGAGGCTTTTTATTACCCCTTCATGGAAATGGGCTTCTGTAGTCCAGCTTTCTAACTTCTCCATGGCCACTACCACCCTCTTCTCACTGCTCAGATTTCACAATAATCAGAATTTTCTTATATAGTATGCTAATAATTACATTAATAATAATTATTATAGCATACTCTTTACCGGAGCTGCAAAATCATGGTCATTCTGGTTCAAAATTAGCCCATTTAGTGAAATAAACAGGCAAACCTCACTTTAATTTAGTTGGGACAAAAAAGCCTGCCTTGACTGATACTCCCAATTACCTTGGAGCATCCTTTGGTCAGAGAGCTGTGAAGTCCTCTCTCCTGCCCTTGTGCTTGTGGCTTCTCCCCATGGACGTGGCCTCTCTAGCTTTCCTTCATGCCCACAGTTCCTTTCTATTCCCTCCATGACTCTCATCACTCTCCAGATGGGTCATGAGAGACCTTTTCTTCTGTACCTTTCCTCCTCCCTCTGTGGTACGACCTGCAGAAATTTTAGGTAGCAGCAGAACAACTCAAGAGCGAGCATATTCAAAGGAGCATTGCGTTATGGCAAAAGTAAATCCTGGGATATTCTAAACCATTAGGTATTCATGGACAGATTTCCCAAATGACTGTACTCGGGCAGCCTGTCTCTACAATGAGAGAGGTTACTTGGGGCACGGTTTATTGAAGCTTGTATGAAATGTTCACAAGGAAAAGATAGAGGAAATGAAGGTAATTTCCTGGGTTTTCTTCATGTCAGGAGCTGGGCTGCGGGTAGCTGGCGTTTGAGGAGGAGGCTTGAGTGTTTGGCAAATCGAAACAAAATGTTCTTGTCGTTACGTGGTACCACTCAGCTTTTCCCCTCAGGCAAGGTATATGCAAGGTATTGCTGGTGGATTTTTTAAGAAAGTATCTCTTCTGGAATACATTTCTAACATTACCATGTCTGACTATTCTCTGTGTCAGGTTTTGCAAGCTAGGTAGTGTGAAGGGATGTTAAAAGATGGGGCTGCCACCCGCAGCTCCGGGGCCAGGCATCCTCCTGCCTGGCCTCTGGAGGCCAGCCTGGGGGCCCAGCATCTCATCCCAAGCTGGTGGAGGTGGCTGCTGCTTTCCTGCTAAACTTCAACAGCACCTACGTATAGGACTCACTCAAGTTCCAACAGCAAAGGCCCCTTCTCCCCTTCGGCTGTCAGGGCTGAGGTTCGCTAGAGAAAGCACGTGCATGCGCGTGCACACACACATGCGCCTCTCTACGTTCACAAGCACACAGGCGGTTGCAGATCCCCGAGTAGCGGCATAGCCTCCCTGGCTGTCTGACACCCCTGCCCGGATCCCAGGCCCTCTTACCTGCCCCACGGTCACTGTCCCTGACTCACTGCCTGGTCCAGCTTGGTGCTCACTGCGTTTTGACAAGGTCCTCATCCAGCTGATCTTGCTGAAACAAGCATCCTCCCGCTCCACATACCCTTACCAATTAGCCTGGCTGACCAGGGCTGTTCCCTGCTGTTGTCTCTCTGAGTGTTGTTTGGTTGGGTTTGTGCCTCCGTATGTTCGGCTTCCCCCCTTCTCCTTGTCCTCCCACTTGACAAGGTCCTTGATCAGATGACGTTAACAAAGCAGGCGGTCTCTCCTTCCACATGCACTGACAGGTAGATTCCAGCTGGGTTTAGATACAGAAGCGGAGAGTGGAAATAGTGCCTCTTTCTGAAGAAAGCCACCTTGGTACCCAAGCATGCAGTCCTAATGAAAAACTACTCCTGTGCAAGTTGTCCATGTAGAGCAAACAGTAGTAGAAGGTTTGTACATGGCTAATGAAGTTACACAGACATCTTGAATGTATTTTATTAAGATGTGATAAACACTTCCTAATAATCAATCTCATAAAGTAATGGTGGCAAAACAGAAGGAAATTTCAAGTGAGGGAAGATGTTCAATATACGGCAGAGAAAAATTACCTGTTATTGATAATTTAGCATAGAGAGTCTCCTCAGAGCTCAGTTTTGTACCAGTTTGAAAAGTCATAAAATTTCAAAACAGTAAGAATAAAAAAGTAAAATGAGCCACAAAAGAAAAGAAACAAAAGTGATTACGTAAATTAACGGTGTTTTCCTTAATGTATATGTGATTTGAATACCACAGTACTGCAGTAAGAGAGCATGTGTCAAGGAATTACTTTAGCATTCATTTAGGCTCCTGCAGATTTAATATCCAAGGCTGGCCATAGATGTTCACATTTACTGTCCATTCACAGGCTATGATGAGTAGCTGGAAATACCATATGTGTATCTAGCTCATTACATTTCAGCTGTAAAATTACACTGAACTCTTAGGACTACCATTACAACAACTAAGTGTGGAAAAAGAAGACTTCATGTTATTAGATCATTTTAAGATGTCACAGATTTACTGTGCTAGAACTGTTTGGGAATTATAAGGCATGATTAATTTTATAATCTCACAATAACTTCCTGATGATTTTAAGCACAGTATTTGGTCAATTAAAAACTCCCAAACTAAGTATATGCAGAATACAGTGAATGATAAACACACAAGCAAAATGTTCCTAATATAAGAAATATTTTTCAGAGAATCTGACTAGGAACTTCCAGCTTGTAGACTCTGAACATCTCCTCCTCTATGTAAGCAATCTGATACAGTGGAATACTTTCTCCCCCACCATGTCTCCCGCATATTCAGTGGAGCAGCAAGAGGAGGAGGGACAATAGGACAGGAGTATAAATTTTTGCCTTCGCACAAGTGCAATACACAGACCAGCAGCTAGAAGCAGGAACACACATAGACAGAAACATACAGACACGTGTCACTAATCAGGCGAACCAGTGGCTCTAGAGGGATGCTCTCTGGCCTTCATGACAGCGACCGTGCCGCTTGCTTCTCTCCAGAACGTTTGGGTGTTGGACCAGACTTACCGCACATAGAAAAAGAAATCTCTCTGCAACGTCTCTGGCATGAGATACCACTTAGAAAATGTACGTTGCATCCCAGCTGGAGTCGAGTACCATCTGTGTACAGTTCATGGCTCCCAGCTACATGAAAACAAGCAGCGTAGTAGCCTCTCCAGTCTCAGCCTAGCTGTCAGATGTATTTGAATTGAAGGGCTGGCCCAGATGTATTCATCCTCTTGCTCTCCCTTCATCCTAGCTAGGTACTTAATTATTTGCAACCGTTTGGATACCCAAACCCAACTGTTGTCATATGATTATTTTTTTTTATTTTATTTTTTACTTTTCCACAGTGTGGAAATTTGCCCCATTCTCTGCAGGAGAGGCTCGTTTAGCTCCTTTTCAAGTAATGAATTCCTTCCTGGAATTTTTTGATTGCTACCCCTGAATTGGTACAATACTGTATTTGTCAGAGTCTGCCTTCAGGGAAGTTGTTTAAAGTCATATTTGGGCCTACTATCCACTTACTCTTTTGTCACTTTCAGCAGTAATTTTTTCATTACATTGTTTTTTCCCAGATGTATTCACCTTGGAGTTTTCATTTCCCTGCTGCTTTCCCTTTTGCCACTTAAGGTGGGAAAAATGGGAAAAATTTAAACCAGTTCTACTGTACGTCTCTACTTAGG